CTCCCCCAGCCTCCCCCACCCCCCTGTGGCACCCCTGCTGCATCCCTGCACTCCTTGCCTGGGACTCCTGCCTCTTCCCACTTAACAATCTGTGTATCTTAGGGTTACAACAGCAACCAGGACTATCTAGGATTACTGTCACTAAGCAATGTGGTCATGTGACATCACACTTTATAACCACATTGCTTAGCAATGGCAATCCTGGTACTAATTGCTGTCACAACCCAAGGACTACTTGTTGTCCTCGTTTAGTGATTGCCTCGTACAGCGACTGTTTGCAGGTACGACGGTGATGAAAAAGTAACTTTGTGACCAATCCTTGCATTTATGACCTTCGCAGATCTGTAAAGGAAAGAAAAGCTGAAGTAAGATCATAAGCACAGTCATGGTTTCACTTAGTGACCACTTCTCTTAATGACCGAGTTGCTGGTACCAATTGTGGTCGCTAAACAAAGACTACTGGTATTTTTTTAACTTCCCAATCTAGCCTATAGCTGTGGAATTTCCTGATGGTCTCTCAAGCACATGCTAATCAGGTCTAGCTCTGTTTAGGTATTTGGAATCAGGCAGGGTCAGCTAGATGCTGCCACCTGACTGTGTTTTAACTGTTAACAAACCTTAAATGACTACCTAGTTAATCTACTTTCTACATATAAGGGTACTGGGTATGTCAAACTTTCAAATCAGTTTTGAGCTTAATAGCTGGATTTTTTTAGTTTGTTACTTCTTCCCAGCAAGCCCGAGGAAAACACCTTTCGCAACATTGACCACTTCTGTATCTGATAAGAGCAGTCTTATTGTTTTAAAGTGGTTATTGATGGTTTTATATCTTTGTATATTGGTTTTTAGCTTGTTTTTTATTGGATTGTTGTTTTTCACCTGCTGTGAGCCTTCCAGAGTCACCTAGGTGAGATAGGCAGCTATACAAATTGAACAAACAAATAAATAAATAAATCTGTGGGTCAAGAGATTCTCTGTTGTTACGTCTAAGTTTCTTACCAGGCATGGATGAACATACCTTAACCACATTTTTCCATCTATCATTCCTCCCTCTCCATTTTTCTGGACTTTATAAAACCATTTTGTCTATTGAAGATGTGCTGGAAACTCCAAATACTACAATATTTTATAAACCTAAAATTGATTTTTATATGTCTTAAATGTATTTTGTCTATATATAAAGATTAGACAGATTCACAGATAAGTCTGTAAGGGCTATGTAATAGTTACATGGTACTCCATGTCCATATTGGTGCACCTCTAAATGTTAGTTGCTGCTGAACATTCAGATTGGGAAACCTGTTGTCTTTATATCCTAATTTTGGGCAACTGGGGCCCATCTGATTAGCTAGGGATGATAGACTTGATGGACCTTTGGTGCAGGAGGCTGGATAAGTTGGATTTTTGGACATTACTTTTCAGAGTATTTAACAGGAAAAGTGGGCCTTTTATAAACTCAAACACCCATACCAAAAATTGGCCTTATATATTGTCCAAAGTTTTCTATTGAAAAATGCAGACAGGATTCTGATTATTTCCTAAATTAGAATTGCCTCTTCAGTCATGTTCCTTTGACAGCTTCATCTACTTAATTGTTTCAAATAGTGCAATGAGTCATTTCTTGTTAAAACTAACAAAAAGTAATGTTAAAATTACTTTTATTTCTTTAAAGGTATTTGAAGAAAGAAGAAACTTGTTGGGGAAATGGGTAATAATCTTTTCTTTCTCAATTGTTCTGTCAGTCTCACAGGCTTCAATACTTATTGTGCAATGACTCACTAGACCACGCTGGCAAATGTAAACACATTCCAAAATGCTTAGAATTAGCATTTTTTACCACAGACCTGGTATATGGTTTGTTTTTAAAAGAGCATGTGCTTTATTTAAGAGTATTCCCCAAATAGGACTCTCATGGCCTAAAGGATTTTTACTCCTATAGTTCTACAGTTGTTTCATTACAGGAATTGTCTGAAGGGCACTCATTTGGGAAGGCTGATTTAGAGGTCATTTATCCCTTATCCATAAAGAATGTGTTCTAGGTCTTCAAACATATAGGTTTCCCAATGTGTATACAGTATATAACAGTGTTTACATCATGCCATTTCTGTGAAATTCTCAAAATCATCTGATTTTCTTTTCTTGGGAACAGAGTTTGAACTAAGTGACCAGTGATCCAGTACAGAACTTTTGTATTTCTCAATAGCATTCATTCATTCATTCATTCATTCATTCATTCATTCATTCATTCATTCATTCATTCATTCATTCATTCATTCATTCATTCATTCATTCATTCATTCATTCATTCATTCATTCATTCATTCATTCATTCATTCATTCATTCATTCATTCATTCATTCATTCATTCATTCATTCATTCATTCATTCATTCATTCATTCATTCATTCATTCATTCATTCATTCATTCATTCATTCATTCATTCATTCATTCATTCATTCATTCATTCATTCATTCATTCATTCAATTTATATAGCTGCCCATACATGACTTTAGGCAGCTTACAATAAGATACATAAAATATATAAAATACTAGACAACCCTGTGACCCATTGGGTCATCCTTTGAGAGAAAGGTAGTGCAGTCTGATGTGACCAGAATGAACATTAAATTTTAGGTTGACCATATATTTTTTTTACCCCAGTGCTGGACGGTCCCATGATCATCTAAGAAAAGCATGTATCATAAATAGAAAAATAATTGAAGTGGCAAATGAACTCCAATAATAAGTCAATATTTACTTACCTAAACAGATAAACAGAATGACCACAGGTGGGCAAAAAAGC